CCAATATTTTATTCAAGATTTTTGCATCTATGTTCATAAGAGATATTGGCCTATAGTTTTCTATTTTGGTGGTGTCCTTTCCTGGCTTTGGTATCTATCTTCCCAATTTTTGTTGTCACTTTGATCCCCTGTGAGTAGATCTTTAAAAACCACAATGCTCAAGGCAGGCATTCTTATTAAGCTAAATTGTTAATTTAGACTTCAGGAGATAGTTTTTGTTATAGGGTTTAGAGATTATTTCAGGGGCAGTATTTACAAGGATTTATTCAGGATCTGGAAAATCTGGATTCCAAAAGAATTTGAAATTCTGTTCTGTGTTTCCCCTCTTTGATCATGATTCTTCTATAAAATCTAAATAAAATCTTTAAAATCTTTAATCAAAATATAGAGTAATAATTGCTGAGCATCATTCATTTCTTTCATGGGAGTTGTTTACAGAGTCATACATTCTATTTCCTTCTCCTATTCCTGACTCTCCTTCTCTGTTTTTTCAGTTACGTAAAGAAATGTTTTCTCCATTCATTTGATCTTCATAACCACTGTTAGTTAAATGGTAAATGCCATACCTTAATCCAAATGTGAAAATTGTTTTTCATTTCTGAATAGCATTTCATTATATATTCTTACTTTATCCTTTCTACTCTTGATGGACGTTTGAATTATTTCTTGCTTAGAATATTTCACACAAGATTGTTGGAAACATTTTGTTGTGGTCATCCACAACAAAAGTTTATCTGAAATATATTCTTGAGAGTGGAATAAATACATCCTCAGATCATACCTGTACCTTGTCTAGAGATGTTTTCAAATTATTTTCCTTGTATACATGGACAAAAAAACATTCTTATTATGCATCTGTGCTATAGTATTGTCAGGGTTTTTTCAAACTTAATCTAGTAAGTATAAAAATAATTCACTATGGCTCTAATTTACTCTTCAGAAGTTACAAAATAAATGGATCTCTCTGTTTTTTAAACTATGAACCCAGAACTCATTGCCATCAAGTTACAGCTCTTATCAACCCTGTGTTGTTAGGTACTGTTCAGTCTAGTACAACTCAGACCCTATGAACAGCAGATATGAACCCTTTGCTAGCCTGTGCCATCCTTATCGTATCTGACGTACTGAGCCCGTTGCTGTAGTTAGTCCATCTCATTGAGAGTCTTTCTCTCAGTACTCTAATTATTTATAACTATTTACCATAATAAATAAGGAACTGACTAATGCAAATGTCTTCTAGCTTTGCCTGCCTAAAATATCTCTGTACTAGCTATTAACAAATTTTAAAACATTTAAACTACCATTACATTTTGTTTGATTCTTCAAACTATCATATAGCCTTTACCTGGTATAAATACAAGGTAAATAAAAAGTCTTAACTAAAATTCAGTGCTAGGGTCATAGGGTAATGCTTAATTATAAGGTGGTCATGACCCACAATTTACATACAATACTTGCTTTTTATGTTACCATGAAAATGCAAAGGTTTAAAATTTTTTGAGCATGTGCAAAGATTCTTGTGTATTTAACTTGGTATGACAGCCCAACCACTTATTTCCCATGGAAAAATTCAGACATGAAAAAATATGTACCGTTTTATTTAATATAGAATTGTTTTTCATAATCTAAAACTGAAAATAATGTAAAATTCCAAACCAGTAGGGAATTGGAAGTCTGTGATATACAATATGATAGAAAGAATATTTTTTTCAGATTGTATGCTTGCTTTACTTTTGCTGCATTTTTTCTTTTGCTTTTTTTTCCATTTCTTTTTTTAATGAAATTTTATTTTAATTGTTATTTTAACGAGCATTTACAGAGAAGTTAGATTTTCATTCACTCATTATTGCACATTTTAGCCCCTCTCCTTTCCTTCCCCCTCTCCCAGTTCACTCTTTTTTTTTAATATTCATTCATTGTTGCACAATTACCTATCTCTCTCCGCACCTGCAGTCCTCTTTGCAATGATATACCTTTTATTCTAGGCTGTTGGCATACATATAATGCCTAATTATATATTCATTTTAAACAGAGAATTTTTAAAGACATAGAAATAACAGTATGTGAAAATGCAATATATAAAGTGGTGCCTGTGGTATATAAATTATAACCACATTCTATAACCTCATTTTATCTATAAAGACTTCAGATAACAGCATACACAATATGATCTCAGCTCAAAACATTGTTTTAGGGCTTTGGATTGATATTTTCTTCATTATCCTTTAAAAAAAAATTTCTAATTTTTCTGAAGATAATTAACTGTCATCAGAAATATCAGATACTCCTAGATTTTCCTTAAAAGGAAATTTTAAAACCAGTTCTCTTTAAATAGGCTAAGATAAAGAAATGTATTTCCTGTGTTCTTTGATATGATTATGTATGGGGCTATGCCTTTCTCTTTGGAAAAAGAAGCATAATAAATATATTATCTGTATGTGTTCCACACTAACCTAGTCTTACCATTTCTAAATTTGATTATTTTTTTTTCTCTCTTAGGGGGATTTTCAGACTACTAATAAAACATCAGCTGGATAACCAGGATAACCCATCTTATATTGGTATCCAGTATTTATTTGTAATATTGTATGACCTTCTTACCTCACAGATTCCTTTTTCTGAAAGCTAATAGCAGCACTCCAGTTTTTCACAGCAGAGAATGTGTGGTGTACACATTTCAGTAATGAACTTGCTAGTGACAGTGTTATGTGAAAAGCATAGCTCCCTTTTGAAGTTCCGTATGGTGATTACTAATGTAATTAGGGAGCTCTAATTAGCTCTGTAATGAGGGTGGTCTAACCCTTAGGAGCTGCTCCGTATTGGAGTCCATTGGGCGTTGTACTGCTAACCCATAGGCAACATCTCTCCGTTGGTTCGAGTCTGCTCCAGAGGAGAAAGATGAGCACTCTCCTCCTGTGCCATCTGCGGTCTCTGAAAACCCACGAAAGGGCCAGCCATGCGTTGGTTCCAGCTCAACAGCAGAAGAGAATTAAGATGTGTGACCACCACTTTTTGTTTTCTTAGGACATTTTCTTTCCCTAAGCAAAACAAATGTTTTAATTTAACCAAACATGTTAATATTTGTTTCTTATAACTTCTTAGTTTTCTCTTTAAAAGTAACTTTATCCATGCTATTTGAAACTGTCCACAGGATTAGTTGGTTCCCATGGATTACTTTCAACCAATTGATTCTTTTAAAAAATAAGTCACACACACAAGAAAAGTCACATGGATAGCATGTTGGTATTTTCTAGTTTTTGTTCTTTTAAAGATACATACTTTTTAAAAAAAAACAACAACCTAACAGTGGCATTTATTGACTGTTGTATCATACCATGCAAATAGCACCTTTGTCTGTAAAGATAGAGAGAGAGAGAGAGAGATATAAAGTGGTGTCTTAAATTCTGGCTTAAGGTAAAATTCTTTTTCTTTAACTCTTTAGGACTTTCTTTTCAAGATTTTTACCAGCAGTGTCGGGAGGCATTCCTTGTCAACAGTGATCTGACACTTCGGGCACAGTTAACTGAATTTAGGGACCATAAGCTCATAAGGACAAAGAAGGTGAGACTCTAATATTGTGGGAGTATATATCAGGGAGTGTATCTCACTTACATAAAGATAAGTTATACACCTTTGACTCTGACTCAGGCATGAAGCTGAATTCCATGGTGGGTCACAGGGATCCACTTAAGCAGTTCACCATTTGAATTCTTTGGAAAGTGATGCTAGTAGGGCTCTGCTTCAGAGAGAGCATTACATTCCTTCTTAGTCAGTAGTAATGGACCATTGAAGTTACAGAAGTCAGTAATTTTATTATTTCTTGCTCTCTTCCCACCATCCCATTCACTATTTAAGTATACATTTAAGACACTGTATTAAGTACCAAGGAGCTCTGGTGACATAGTCCATAGGAAGGTGCTCTACTAACCCAAAGGCAGTTCTCTGTGGTGATTTGGATTCACTAATGCCTCCATAGGAGAAAGGTGGACAGTATTCTCCGTGGGATATAGAATCTCCTCAAAACTCTTAGACCTGCACCAGGAAGCACCAGAAAAGAGCAAGGGAACACTACATGGTTTAAAATTAAGAAGGGTGTGTGTCAGGGTTCTATTCTCTCTTCATACCTATTCAGTCTGTATGCTGAACAAATCATTCGAGAAGCTGGACTTGTGTAGGAATTTGGCATCATGATTGGAGAGAGCTTCATCAATAAACTGCGTTAGGCAGATGACACAACCTTGCTTGCTGTAAGTGAGAAGAACTTGAAGCACTTGCTGCAGAAGATCAAAGAATACAGCCTTCAATATGGATTGCATCTCATTGTCAAGAAAGAAACATTCTTACCACTGGACCAATAGGCAACATCATGATAGATGGAGAAAAGATTGAGACTGCCAACAATTTCATCTTGCTGGGATCCACAATTAGCACCCTTGATACCAGCAGTCAGGAAATCAGGTGATGTATTGCACTGGGAAAGTCTGCAGTTACGGACTTCTTCAAATTATTGAGGAGTAATAATGTCAGTTTGAGGACTAAGGTATGGCTGATTCAGGCCATGATCTTTCCAATTACTTGCTCTGCATCTGAGCACTGGACAGTGAATAAGGATGACAGACGAATTGATGCATTTGAACTTTGTTGTTGGAGAGGACCACAGAACATCCCAAGGATGGTAAAAAGAACACCGTGGAGAAGGTGCAGCCAGAGTGCTCTTTGGAGACAAAGATAATGAGATAATCTCAAATACTTCAGACATGTTACAAGAGGTGCTATTCCCTGGAGAGGGACATGATGCTTAGAAAGGTGGAGGGTTGGCGAAGGAGAGGAAGACCCTCAACCAGGTGGATTGAAACGGTTACTACCACAGGGGCTCTGATGTGTCAGGAAGAGTGAGGGTGGTGCAGGATAGAATAGGGTTTAGGTCTATGGTTCATATGGTCCCTATGGCTTGTACTCAATGGTACCTACAACAACAGCAACAAAAAAACCTCCCAAGATAGTAACTATGCGTCCATTCTAATCTGATAACAATGAAATAAAAGATTATGTACATTATAAATACAGTAGTAAGCAAAAACAGCTCTTTTTATAGTTATGTAATACTTTCAGTGGGCTAGCATGTGCACTAACTAATTTAACCCTCATAAGAGAACTTCTTGTGTACTGTAAAGTCAGAACCGACCCATAGCTGACCCTCTTATGGGTTTTCGGAGGCAATTAATCACACAGGAGGAGATTGCCCATCCTCCTTCTGTGAAGCAATTGGTGGCCTCGAACCATGTGCTTCAGGATTGCAGTGCAGCTTCTTGCCACTAGGCCACCAGAGCTCCGAAATAATAATTGTTTTAAGTTCTGTGACCAGAAGAGCACATGAGAGCACAGGTAGATGTGTCTTAATTGTAGATACCAAAGGAGAGCTAAAAGGAAGACTAGAAGGTAATAGTTAAAGTGATAAGGGAAGAATATTCAGCAAGTAGCATCTAGAGAGACCCTGGGGCAAAAAAACCCCTGATACGTTAAAAAAGTAAAAATGAGGTCAGATGTCACAGAATGACTTTGAAGCACTAATGATTTCAGAGCTAGACCGGTCAGGTCTATTAGGCGAACATTAGGATTTTAATCTTTTTTGTAAAAGTCAAGTCATTAAAAGATTTCTTTGACTCTGAGGTGTAGAGCATAATTAGATAGTAAGAAGTTGATGCACACAGACAAGCTAAAAAGGTTTCATTGCAGCAGTCAGGGCGAGATGATGGTAACTAGGGAGAAGAGGGAAAAGTGCCTGGATTCAGAATAGAGCTTGGAGGGAAAATGGAGACAATTATTGACTAGATAAGAGACAAATGAAAGGAAAGTGTCAAGGGTGAATTGTTGACTAGATAAGAGATAAAGGAAAGTGTCAAGGGTGATGCCTGGCTTCTGCCTTGATAGTCTTTTGCCTTTATTTTTATCACATTGGCTCTGGTGGCATAGCGTATAATGTGCTAGACTACTAATCCAGAGGTCAGTGGTTCCAATCCACCACCCATTCCACAGGAGAAAGATGGGCAGTCTCCTCCTGTAAAGATTTATAGCCTTGAAAACTCAGTGGAAATTCATTTTAACTTGACAACAGATGGCGCATTTGGTTCTATTATCAAGTTAATTATCAGAACCAACAAGACAGCATTTAACAACAAACAAGTATTACACCAACTACTGTGTTAAGGAAATCCATTTATCTTATGAATAACTAATATTTGGGGTGTTCTTACCTCTTTTAGGGAACTGATGGAGTGGAGTATTTATTAATTCCTGTTGATAATGGAACATTGACTGATTTCCTGGACAAGGAAGAAGAGGAGGCTTGAGGATTATCCTTCCTCTTGGACCTTCTGTAGAAGAGTGTTGTACTCCAGCTACCAACACCTTCAGTCAGAGGTGTTGTGTTTACGCCATCATTATTTTTCCAGTGTACAGGATTTAAAATTGGGAGTAGGAGAATTTCATTTTCATCAGTTAGAACTTTTGACCAGCATGTCCGTTGTACCATCTTTAGCACTATGCAGCTGTCCTCAAGTTGGAGAAAATGTGCCTTTCATTCATTACCTCTCTGGAGACTTCTGGTGAGAATGAACAGTGTGCTCAGGGACTGTTTGGAACTGGATGTTTTTAAATTATTTTATACTAGAAATAATAACAATAGTCTTAATTTTTTGAGGGCCTTTTAACACTCTCAAGCTGATTGTTTGTAAGCATGCCTGTTCCAGAGTTTGGAAAGTACTGGGAGACGTAAGCATCATCTATTAATATTTGCTGTTGTGTATCTAAACTGGTAAGTGCTGTAAACAGTTCATCTCTTCGTGGTCCTGACATGCTAAATGATTATGTGGACTAGGAAGAAGTAGACAATCCATCTGTCTCGGTTTGGATTTAGGCTTCACATTTCGGGGGCTAAGGAAAGCAGCAACACTCTCCAGTGGGATAATAGGAAATGAATGAGTTGACTGGGTATGCACCAAGTCTAGGAAGCACCTGAACAATACATGAAGATCTTCTGAACAAAGTCTGTGCCATCACCTTCATAGGAGATACTAAGTGAGAAAGAGAAAAAAAATCTTAAATTGCAATTTAGTAACAGTTTTTATGACAAAAAGCATTTTTATTATTCTTGTCTATTGACATAACTTTTCTTGAATAACATGCAGGTAACTAACATAGTGACTGGCTGGCTTTGAAGATTTCACTGTCAAATAGACCCAAAGATCTCACTGTAAGATACTTCAATTTTTTTTTTCCCTAAAGTGATGATTTTTAAACCTCCTAAAGATTTTATATGAGCCTGTTTTCTTAGTAATGAAAAAAAGGTAACTTTGGCCATTGTTGTCAGCTTCAAGTCTTCATACTCCCAGAAATATTTCATACTTGGAAATTAAATTCTTCATTAAAATATTGTAATAAAGTATGTACCACATCAGGATTTTTCACTCATTTCTTAAATCACAAACCTCATTTACAGAATTATTTCTCAAAACACTTGGAATATTTTCAGTAATTTATTTGTGGTAGGATTAGATTAATTAGATTTATCTAATTAAGTGAAATTAACATGTATTAAAGTTATAGCCTCAAATATATCACCAAGGCAATTTCCTCCCAGTTACAGCCCCAGAAACTCAGTGGAGGAGGACAGTGATGAGTCACTTCCAGCTCAGCAGCAGTAAGCTTTGAGTTTGACTTGTAATACGTGTAGAATTTATTTTTTTTTATTTTATTTTTTTTTATTATTTTGTGTGCGTGTACCGTCAAATCAGATCTGACTGGTACAGGAGGATATTGCGCCTCCTTCTCCGGCAGAGCATCTGGTGGATTCGAACCGTGTTCCTCTGGGATTGCAGTGCAGCTTCTTGCCAGTAGGCCACCAGAGCTCCCCTTACGTGTAGAATTTATACATGAACATGAAGCATCTTTAATATTTATACAATTAAAAAAAGACCTAGTACCAAAGGATATTAAATGAAAATGAGATTTCCTCTCATTCCATGATTCCTTAGGAAAAACTGATTGTGCTTTCTCAACTATTCTTCCAGAGGTCATTAAGGTATATGTAATACCTGTCTACATACCTGTCTGCTCCCAAGGTCTTTTAAGATAAAGAATGTAAGTACTAGGAGATGGAGAATCTTAAAACACAATGGGAGAGTACAGTACTTAGTGATTTGCACCTTGATTTTTTTGAACGTCCGTGTTTATAAATGACACAGAAAACTTGTAATGGCCTAATGTACAACTTTTGCCTTTACTCTTAAATATCTAGTGATTCTCATTTTTATGTTCACTATTTGGAAACAGTGCATGTCAATAGTATTTATTATTAATAAATGAAAAGCCAATTTCAGTAGAAACCTTTAAGTTCCTCCATGTTCTTAAGGTCTTCCAGTTCTGTTTTCAATATGAAAACTAATTTCTTATCCTGTGTTATTTCTGAAAAGTCTGATTGGCTCTTTTAAACCATGACAGATTGATCTGAGTACTCTGAATACAGTGATGATGTTATTCTAGTACAATGCATAGCACCCCTATGGCCAAGGTATGTAAGATGAAGCTTTTCATCCTTGCCTCTAATACAATGAGAGGCTCCAGAAAAGTGGAAGGGATGTATGCAGGCTGGACATTTTTTAATTAATGTGATAAGATATGAAGGCCTTGAATGGGGTATGCTAGGTTAGTTATTGTAATACTCCAAGAACTGGTCTTAGGATAATGCTTGTTGAATATAGGAACATTTCATGCATGTAAAGACACAGTAGGTTAGAGATGGTTGCTAATTACTGGTGGGAAAGTTACTATGTGATCCATGTGATTGGCAAACTTGTCATTTTATTTCTTTTTTAAAAATCAAGAACATTAGGGAGCTTTGGTGGCCTAGTAGCAAGACTCTGCACTGCAATCCCAGAGGTGCACGGTTCAAATCCACCAGATGTTCTGCTGGTAAAGGAGGGACAATCTTCTCCTGTACCAGTCAGATTCGATTTGATGGTACATGCACAAAAAAATAAAAAAATTTTAAAAAATCAAGAACATTGAAAGAAATAAGTATTACTTTTACTTTCTTGAAAAGATTTAGTAACAATTCTGGAGAGTCTCTTTCCAGTTCATTTAAGTGTGAATCCAGCAGTGGCATTGCTCAGAATGTATTTTCCTAGGAGATGAGATGACTTCCAGCTTAGTCCTGAGCAGCCATCATATGACAGTGAGTCACTGCATTCTGCTTTACCACAGATTGTGTGGCTCTTAAAAACCAAGGGATTAGTAAACTGTTATGTAAATGACTTTGTCTGAGGGGGTGGAGGTTGGAATTTTATTCTCACAGGAATAACTCCTACATTTTTACTTTTCAGACAGCTTTTAAACTGTTAATGCATTTACAACACAGGTTTTTCACTAGACGAGTTGGAAGACTTGAAGATGAAATTCTCATCTCTTGTATTTTAATAACATTAAATACATGGAGTATTAAAAACACTGTAGTACATTTAATCTGTTGAACAAAATTTGAGATTATTTAGTGGTGTTGTAGAAAATGAAATATTACAGTCAGTGTAACATAAAGCTCATTACCAATTTATGAGACGATTTGGTATTTATCACTTGCTTTAAGACTGCCCATATATTTTGCTCCTCATTTTTACCACTCAGTGTGGGGCTCAAAATGGCAGCATCAGCACCTCCTAAGACCCTGTCCCAAGCCTGCTAGAGCAGTCTGCATTTTAATAAATCCCTAGATGTTCACATGTGTACTATAGTTGGAAAAACAAAACTGTCTTTAATTGTGCAGTCAACATCCTAAAAATTAAGAATACATTTTAGGAAAAAACCTTTAGTGGTATGATTACGTAAGTCCTGGTCATTAGTTCAAATCCACAACATGAAGCGATCTGCTTCCATAAAGAAAAAAGTCTTGGAATATCTGTAGGAGTTCAGTTCTTCCTGTAAGAAGCTCTGGTGGCTTAGTCCGTAGAGTGGCTCTGGGGTAAACATGAATAAATGAACAGCTCCATGGGGGTAAAGATGGGCAGTCTCCGTGTGATTTATACCCTCTGAAGACCTGGATGGTCAGCTAGCAATGAGTTTTGGATTCTTCATTGCTTCCCATAGGGTCACTGTGAATCAGAATCTATAGCAACAGGGTTTTCTGTACACTTTAGAGAAAGGAGGCATTTCTGAAAGCATGATGAATCTTCAGTGAAGCTTTATTTTTTAAAAAAAAACTATAAAGGATGCTGTGTGGTTATTTTTGTTTATATAAATACAAGATGCTGGCGAGCTCTGGTGGCCTAATGGCAGGAAACTGCACTGCAATCCTAGAGGTGCGCGGTTCAAATCCACCAGATGCACTGCTGAAGAAGGAGGAACAATCGCCTCCTGTACCAGTCAGATCTGATTTGACGGTACACACACATACATAAATAAATAAAAAAATTAAAAATAAATAAATACAAGATGCTGAGAAAAAAACTGATGTAGCAGTAAATTTGAGCATAAATTCTTTGATCTCAGCCCCTTCTATAATTTTTTTAAAAAACTATGTAGCGGGGCACTCTGGTGGTATAGTGACAAGAAGCTGCACAGCAATCCCCAAGGTGTACAGTTCAAATCCACCAGATACCCTGCTGGAGGAGGGGACAATCTCCTGTGCCAGTTGGATCTGATTCAGTGGCACACAAGGAAAGCAAAAAATACAAAAAACAGACATGTATGTAGCAGTAAGTTTGAGCATAAATTCTTTGATCTCTTAAACACTTCCAGAATTATGTCCAACGAAATTCATTCACCTTAATAGAAATATCAAGTGTGCGTTCTGTATGAAGTAAATGTTTTACAGCAAAACCACGTCATGTGAGGTCCTCATTGCCAGCTAATCACCATTTCAGATGAAATTATTGCATACTTTACATTCTCCGATGAGGGGGAGGCTTGAGCCCAGGCTATTTCTGGAGCAGCATCTTGGACCGTTCTTGCCTTTCTTGATTCAGGCTTTCTACCTTAGCAGTCAACTAATTACTTAGGCTTTTCCTGCATACTAACTCAAGTTTCTTGCCACTGCACTTATCCAGCCTGTCGGTCCTGGCTAAATTGATCTCCTTTTTTGTATAAAACTTCCCCTATATTTCATGCATATCCGTAGCATAGTTATTTAAGATATGTGTGATAATCCAGTTTTGTTCTGTACTTCCTACATTTCTTTTGGTCCATTAACAGAAAATAAATTACTGAACCAAATCCTGTTGGTCTCACATTCTGCCTCCTTTCTCATTCTCTCTATTCTGACTCTGACATCTTACCCTTTAAAGCCTTCTCCTTAGCTGTTGAGACTTGATAATTCTCTAAATTCCTCACTGAATTACCATGATGCCAAGCACTTAGGGTCTTAGTCCATGTAGAGACTGCTAACCTAGAGTCTCTGCTGCTCTGGCAGTCCACGTCTATCAGCAGCTTATGGGGAGAAAGAGGGTGTAGGGTCAAGGGTTGATGACTTTCCTAGCCATGGACTTGGACTTTGACCATGTGAGTGAGAGGGAACGTAAAATAGGCTTTGTATAAACCAATCATCATTGGTTTGTTCAGTTTTTCCCATAGCACCAAAAAAAATGATTAGATTTAGCAGTGAATGTAGGAATCTAACTGCCAGGAAGGAAGAGGGAGTGCAGTACATACTTTCAGGACCAGAGATTTCCTGTGCCAGTCGGACCAGGACCTATGTGAGGGGAGAATCTGACACCAACATGAGACAGTGGATTGGGACTGCTGTTTTGCAGAAGCAGAGACAAGGCCTTTCACTCAAGGGTGCTGGAGGACTGGGGGAAGACACCATAATTAGCAGGACTGAGAGAACTTTGTAACACTGGCCTAAGCCATGAGGCTGAAGGTCAGAAAGAGCCTGTGACCACACGTGAGATGTCTGATAGAGGAATTCTTTTTGACAACCTGAATTATAACCTGTTTACTACCATAATCACCCCCATAATTGTGAGAATGGTTCTGCGAGACCTGTGTAACTATTGCCATAGATTTTGGACCTAGTAGAGCCATGAAGTTGGTAGAATTAGTAGAAGTAGGTGCAGGAGCACAAGAGACCAGTCTTTTCTTATAGCAATTGGTTTGTTGATGGGGACAGTTCCCCTTTATGGCGTCAGTAGGAGTTAGATACGACTATCCCCATAATCCTCTCACTCTACAGATGGGCAGCCAGCTCCCCTGTGATTTATGGATTCAGAAACCCACTCGGTCAGCTATGAGTCAGCCCTGTCTTGACAGCAATGAGAAGAGAGCAGCACTTGGGTCGGGGAGACAGATGACACACCAAGGCGCTCAGCTTGTCTTTTCTGGCTGCACAAAACCAGTTTTACAAGCTAAGGAAGATTCAGCACACGTTCTTCTGTGCCCTAGGTAGAATTTCTTTTCCATGGTTAGGGGCTAGGCAGAAAAGGAGCCTCACCTCTCAACTACACTTTCCCACCTAAGGTGCTGTCAAGTCAACTACAACTCACAGTGATCTGACCTGTTTTCCCCATGATCTGTCACGCTCAAGCTAATTACTGTAGTCACTGCATCAGTCCATCTTGTTAAGGGTCTTCCTCTCTTTCATTGACCTTTCCCAGCATGCTATCTCTAAGGACTGTTTCCTCCTGAAAATACGCCAACGTAAGTTCTTAGGCATTCTTGCCTCTAAGGAACGCTGATTGCATTTCCTTCAAGACCTACTCATTTGTTTTTTCGGCAGTTCATGGATATTCAGTATTTTTCATAATTCAGAGGCATCAATTCCTCTTTTGGTGTAACGGATTTCAGAGCTTCAGTGATAGGCAGTTGTGGGATGAGAAACACGGGGATCCTTCCTGACTGGGATCCTTCCTGCTCCTCCCAGGAAGAAGTCCTCCAGTCACAGGCTGAGCAGGGAGCCCTGCACTCTGTATGGCAGGTGGGAATGGGCAGGTGGGGAGGAAGAAGAATTATCGATTCATATACCTTGTTCTCTTGCCTTTCTTAGATTTTCTTGAGCAGATATTTGTTAATTTTCTGTTCACCTTTAGAACCATTTCCAGAGGCTTTAAATACACAGGTTGTTTCACTGAGAGCAGGTCAACAGGGCATTACTATCATGTCAAAAGTTTATCTTACACACGTACACTCATTCTAGTGGAAGAGTACATGTCAGGGCTACTAACTGAAAGGTGGATGGTTTGAATCCACCATGGAATCAAGACGGGTAGCGCCCTCCTGGAAAGATTTACAGCTTTGGAAACCTAATGGGTCAGACTTGATGAGAGTGTGGGTGTTTTTTATTTCAACTGTTTTAGGTGAAGGTTTATAGATTTTTTTAGTCAATAGTTCATATATTGGTTGAGTCTCCTGTGACCCATAATGACCCTATGCACAGCAGCTCTGTTCGCTTCCCTGTCCTGAGTCAGTCTCACTAATTCTGACACACCAACTCCCATCGCCCCAGTGACTGAATCAATCCATCTCCTCTGGGGTCTCCCTCTCCTGCGCTGTCCATCCACCCTTCCGAGCATGATGTCCTTCTCCAGAGACCAATCTCTCCTGGCCACGTACACAAAGTGAGGTGGAGCTTAAAATCCTAGCCTCCAAGCAGAGACTTGGTTTCACCCTCTCCAAGACAGACTAATTTGTTTTCTTGGCAGTCCATGGTATGTTCAAGACTTCTCCAGCACCACAACTCGAAGGCATCTATTCTTCTTCTGTCATCCTTAGTCATTGTCCAACTCTATGAACCATAACAAGTAATTGAGAAGACGATGGCCTGGATTAGGTGCACCTTTGTATCTAAACTGACATCGTTCTTCTTCAGCACTCTGGAGAGGTCCATGGCAGCAGATTTTCCCAGTGCAATTCATCTTTTGATTTTCTGACTGCTGGTATTAAGAGTGTTGATTATGGACCCAAGCAAGCTATAATAGCTAACAATCTTAATCTCTTCTCCATCGATTATGGTGCTGCCAGTTGAAGGTAACTCAACCAATAACATACTTGACAGGTTTAGAAGGAGTGTCAGAGAGTTCCTAAACAGCATGCCTCCAGAAACTATAAACTTTGATAAATGTCGACAGTTGTAGAGGGGCTTCAGGCCTTTTGTTCATAGGGTTGCTATGAGTCATGCTCAACTCAAACACACATACACTGCTTCATGGCATCGTTTACAATCCCTGCAATGTGCCAGTGTGCCCTATTCCTCTCTAGGTTCTGTTTCATCAAGTTTCTGTCTCTCCCTGGATTTTCATCTTTGGTTTTGGGCAAATGTTGCTCTTTGGGTTTAATGATACTGTTTTAAGGAGCACTTTCTTCACGGATGTTACTGTTTTATAGTCTTATTTGGTGAAGACTGGTTTCTCCTTATAAGGTTGTGTCGCTCAGGGCAGTAGTCTCAGGGGTCCCACAGTTTCTTTAAGGTTGTTAAGTCTGGTCTTTCTTTTGTTGCTTTTCTACATTTTTCACCCATTCTATCCTGAACCCTCTATCATAATCTCTAAGTGGTCAGCATTTAGTTCTCTGGTCTGAGGTTAGCGGACTGTGGTTCATGTGGAGATACTTAGTCCTTTGGATTAACTGCTGCTTTGAATCTTTGGTTTTCTTCATTCTTCATTAAATCTTGGTGGGAACAGGTGCTTCTTAGATCACTGCTTGCAAGGTTTTAAGAGCCCAGAACTTAGTCCCTAGACTAGGATGTAGAACATTACCTTTATGAACTGTTGTTTTGTCAACTGACCTAGATTTCCCCTGAAACTATGGTCCTTAGCATTCTAGGCCAGTTGTTCTTCCCCACTATCTAAGCAGTTTCTGTAGCTGCACCCTGTATGTGCCTCATTATACATGTGTATATGCAGCATTTACAAACATGTATGTGGTGCTAGAGAAGAGTCTTGAATATACCATGGACAGCAAAGAAAACAAGTAACTGTCTTGGAGAGGGTGAAACCAAGTTTCTCCTTAAAGACTAGGATTTTGAAGCTCTGTCTGACACTTTGGACATGTGACCAAGAGGGACTGGTCCTTGGAAAAAGACATCATGCTTGGAAGGGTGTAGGGACAGTGTAGGAGAGGAAGACCCTGAATGAGATGGACTGACAGAGTAACTGGGGTAATGGAAGTAGGTGTGTCAGAGTTAAGTGAGACTGGCTCAGGACAGGGCAGACTTCAGAGTTGTTGTACACAAGGTCGCTATGAGTCACAGGTGACTTGACAGACCATAACACCAACACACACATAGAAATACCCACACATACCAATACGTGTCCATATATGAGTGTACTATACAACCACCTTCGCCTAGTTAGCATTCACATTTGCCTCGGGGGCAACACACAGATTGTTTACCATTACTGCTATTGCAGGACTGCATATGTTGTAACATTTATCATAGTTGTTCTTTATTCTTGCATTAGTCAATCTTTCCTAGAATGTATAATGAATATTTACTCTTTGATATCATAGTCCATTTTCTTTCACCTTAAGAGCCATAGGACATTCGGTGAACAAGATTAGTATACCAGCAAAGAAAATGCACAGTCTGAGACATTCTGGAAAGATACAAGCTCACTGACTGGTTACATAATTGAGTTTGCACTTGATCTACTATCTCCATATTCATTATACCACATGAAGAGGATCCTTGTCTGTTTCTGACAGGATAATATTGATCTTATTCTCCAAGTGAACACCAAGCATATCCCGAAGGTCAGAAAGGAAGCCTCGTTCAGTGTTGCTGTGCTCACAGAGGATGACATTTATTCCTTGGGAAGCTGCATCCAGAACATCATGATGGGACATCTCACCTGCCAACAAAAGAAAGATGTAATACGTGAGACACAGAATCTGTGAATGCTGAACAACAGAAATTCAAAATTTATATTCTGTATGAAATAAATGTAGTATGTTGTCGTCGTTGTTGTACATCAAGCCAGAACCCACCCACAGCTGACCCACCAGCAGGTTCTCAGAGGCAGTAAATCGCACAAGAAAAGACTGCCCATTCTTCCCCCGCAGAGCATCTAAACTAAAATACACAGAAATCTAGAAAGTTGTGTATAATCTCACCATTTCCTCAAGTCAGAGAGACCACGTGTATGTACAAACCTGTAAGTCCTATCAATAATTCCAACTTCTTTTTAAAAATTTTTTTATTATTAATTTCAATGAAAATTTACAGAAACTTTGGGTTTCCATTCATTTATTGTTGCACTTTTCCCCCCTCTCAACCCTCCCCCCTAGAACACTCCCCTCTTAGAAAAGTAAGAGAAAAATTCTTTCATTGTTTTACAATCCCTCTCCCCCAGGTGTCATGACAAAAATACCTAATCACATATGCCTTTTAAACAGTTTTCTCCTTCATGTGTTTCAGTGCAGTATACATTCTTGAACCCATCTTTCTCAGTCTCTCCTCAACCCCGATGTCAGTCCTGTTTTACAACAGTGGCATGCAGTATTTGTCCTTTTGTGAATGAGATACTTCACTCAGCATAATGTCCTCCAGGCTCACCCATTTTGAATACTGCCTGAGTTCTTTGTTTTTCAATGCAGCATAGTATTCTATTGTGTGAATATACCACAGCTTCTCTATCCATTCGTTTGTTGGTAGGCACCTGGGTTGTTTCCAACTCCTTGGTATTGTGAACAAAGCCACGATAAACGTGGGTGTGTACACATCTGCTTGGGTGGCAGTTATGGTCTCTTCAGGGTATATTTCCAGTAGTGGAATTGCTGGGTCAAATGGTATCTCTATTTGCAACTTTTTGAGAAAGTGCCATACTGCCTTCCACAGTGGTTGCACCATTTTACACTCCCACCAACAGTGAAAAAGGGTTCCAGTTTTTCCACAACCTCGCCAGCATTTGTTGCTTGCTGTTCTGTTAAATTTTGCTATTCTGACTGGGGTGAGATGATATCTCATAGTTCTTTTGATTTGCATCTCTCTTAGAACTAGAGATTTTGAACATTTCTTCATGGCTTGTTAACAATCTGAACGAAATCTCTGGGGAAATGTCTGTACATATCCTGTGCCCACTTTTCAGTTGGATTATTTACCTTTCTTTATCTTGTGGTGCTATTGGTCCAGTTGTAAAGATTTTTGTTTTCTTGATGTTCATATTAAAAAATAGTCTTTACGGTTGTCCAGCAAGTGCTTCAAGTCCTCTTCATTTTCCACAAATAAAATTGTATCATCTGCATAATAGAGGTGGTTGGTGAGTCTTCTCCTATTCCTGATACTCCATTCTTTTTATAGTTCAGCTTCTTGGGTTGTTTGCTTAGCAAACAGGTTGAGTGGGTATGGTTAAAGGATATAATCCATATCCTGACGTACACTTTTTCTAATTTTAAACCATGAGGTGTCCCTTTATTCTGCTCGAATGACTGCTTCTTGCACAATTAAATGTTCTGAAACTCCCCATTCTCAATGTTATCCATAATTTATCATGGTCTACAGAGTCTACTGCCTAAAACAGCTATAGCAGTAAAGGTAAATAAAAAGAGGAAAGACTAAGGCAGTAGTAGGTGGCCTGGTTAGAACACCTCAGGAAGGAAAAATCGAGATGCTGTTAAATGGACTAGCTGAGAGGGTATGGAAGTGGGGAAATATGTGAAGACATTGCAATAGTAGCTAGAGGCAAAGGAATGGCTCAGGATGGCAGATGAGGGAGAGGAAAAGCAAATGCGAGAGCACAAGACACTCACATGAGCAAGAATAGGGCATTTGCAAGGAGTAAGCACCCCACCTGCTGGTCTTTATGTGGTATTTCCATTAATGATCTGATACAAGAACAAGGCCTCTGGTGAACTTGATCATGGACCTATAATTGCTAACGGCAATTTTAGAGTCAGAAAAAGAACTAATATTGAAATGCTAATGTGAATGATATTCTTTTCCATTTAACAGTTTTATGTTCCCTGCATTTGGGAACTGTTCCACATGATCATATAAGATAATGTCCTTGAACTTTGGATATAAATACCAAAGTATTTAGAAGTGAAAGGTCCTCACATCAACAAGGCAAAGAACAAGAACCATATGGTCCTATCAATTGATGCAGAAAAAGCCTTTCATAAAATCCAACACCCATTCATGATTAAAGCACTCAACAAAATAGGATTAGAGGGGAATTTCTTCAACATAGTAAAAAGTATCTATGAAAACCCAAGAGCCAACATTGTTCTTAA